TATATATATATATATATATTGTAGACCGCTGGTAAGGGACGTAAAATTTGGAATATCTGACATCTCATTTAAACAAAACGTCTGTAACGTTGATTTACCAGTTTCAGATGCAGACGTGTGTTGCGTAGATCGGGTGAATATTTGTCCCTTCCCTTCGGCAACAATGGCAACAATTGAAAAAATTTAAAAAAGAGAGAGAATCTTACCTAATATTTTAAGGACTAAAATCGGCCTGTTTTACGTCAGTTTTACATTGTTCAACTGTTCAACATTTGTTGGGTCCATTTAGGCCACAATTGAAAAATAAAAAAAAGAGAATCCTACCTACCGACCCTAATATTTTCATGAATGATATCGAAAACATAACATAATTTCCCTCGGTCCAGAGGATGACCCTCCGGCAGCATTAGACAAATGGGCCATGCCTCTTCCTTCCCCCGTCATGTCTCTTCAGACGATCATCTTGAGCAGCTAATTCTGACTTGTAGTGATTTTACCCGCGGGGAATGGACCGTGAAGTATTAAGGACGTGTGAGAGGTTTGACTGGACGTTTTATACACGAGTGGTGAGAAGGCTACTTCGACTGGGATGCAGTTCCAAGCAACACTAGAACATCTCTGAGGCCTAGGCAAAACGTTGGTTTCCAGTTGCAGTTCTGAATAAATGAGGGTCAGTAGGTAGGGATTATCTTTTTCTTTCTCTTTTTTTGTTAGACGTTGGCAATCTCCACTGATCCACCTTAAACAATACAGTTTATCAAGGTAGATCATGCATGAAGACACTATTTTAATGTCAATGTTGAAAAACCAATTGTACAACGTTTCATCACTCAGGTGTCAGATCATGGAGTTAGAAAAGGGCGATCAGATTTTAAAAAATGTATGTCGACGTCCCTTGCAGGGGTCTACACAAAAAGGCTAGGTTTGGTAGGTTTTTCTCGGGTCGGTCGGGAAACAGGAAACACAACATTTATTTCCTAGGCCAGATCTGAAGCAAAGGACTATCCGCAGCCATGTTGGAAACGTGACCCAGTGTAACGTTGTTTGCAAACCGTCGCCATGGCTGGGATAATATCGGAGAAAAGGGAAGGTAAACCAACAGACGCGAACAAAACCGCTGTACTAATATTTGGAGAGGATCGCAGGTAGGACGGAGTGCACGTAGGACGGGCCTATCGGTAAATCTGTTATAACGATTCGTAAATAATATCATCAGGTTGGTAAACGAATGAATAGCAAAGTTCTTTGGTCACAACCATTTATTTTTCACGAGCCGACGTTTCAGGGCAATTCTGACTGGAATTCACACTATGCACTGACGCTAGATGTTACTTGGTATTATAGACAACTATCGCGGCATT